GTGAGCCGTGTTTGTCCTTCGACAATCACCACGACTGGGTAGAGTGGTTTGTGCTGCGGCGCTGCCGCATGTGTCCCTTGGGCAGCCGAAGGGCCGACCCTCGTGGCGGTGCCTGCCCAGGCCGCAGCAAGTTAGATGAAGGGGTGCTGGTTTCGCTTGGCCACAAGGTCCTCACGTTTCCGTGCTCGGGCGGGCCCCATCTCTTCATGTGTGTGCGATGCAGGTTCCACAGCACAGGAGCGAGGGTTGACGGCCTCGGCAAGAAGTGCAAAGGGAAACCATCTCGTTACGCCGAATACGCTTGGCGAGTTTTGTGCAACAAGGGGTGTCACCCGAACCGCTTCAGGAAAGCGGTCGTGGTGGATGTTTCTGCTGTCTTGGGCTTGTTCGGCTCGGAGAGCCGTGCTTCGGGCCCGCCTTTGGTAGTGGAGGGTTCGCGAAGCTCAGGGTCTGGAGGACACCTGCCTGTGAGCTCTGGAGGGGCTCGAGCTCCAGCGGGTAGTGTCGGTCTTCACCGCCTGGAGGAGGAAGAGGAGGAGGCGCGAGCCTTCCTCGGCAGTGGGGACGAGCTGGAGGCTCCGTCCGCGTTGGCCGCGATTCCTGGGGGGAGCGGGGTCACGTCGGCTGGTGAGTGTGGGTGGGTGGGTGGGTGGGGGGGGGCGCTAAGTCCGCTAAGTCTCGCTGTGCCGTGGGGCCTCCACGGTGCGGCGCTGTCTGTGCCTGCTTCTGCGTCCCCCCCTGGGCCCTCCCAAACGGGGCTCCGTGGCCCAGGGTCAGTCTCATCCCCTTGGGTCCCTGGGGCGTGCCCACCCGAGGGGGAGCGCTTCTAGCGCGTCCTCCGTGTGTGCTGCTGTGGATGCACGTCGTCAAGAGGATGACATGCAGCAGCTAGTCAGATTAGAGTCTTCAAACGGGGATTCCTCCGACAAGTGCGCTCCTGCGTGGCGCCGTCGCCTGCGGGAATCTGATCAGTGTGCGCCGTCGCACTCTGGTCTTGTTGTTCGTCCCTGTCTTTTTCAGGGGCGGCCTTGCACTGCGTCCTGCCCCCAGTGCTCGAATCGGGCGGCAGCGGAGCCTGAACTCAAAATTATCCCGGCAAAGCAACCTAACAGCGATGTGTAGGAGCATATCTGGAAGCATTCCCCTTAATATTCATATAAGAACTCAGTTGTAGAATTCTGCTGTTCTCGCAGTGGCAGTCGCATTCGCGATGACAGTCGCAGTGGCAACGGCAGTCGCAGTCACAGCCTCAGCCTCAGCCTGCCTCAGCCTCAGCCTGCCTCAGCCTCAGCCTCAGCCTGCCTCAGCCTCAGCCTCAGCCTGCTTCAGCCTCAGCCTCAGTCTGCCTTCAGCCTCGGCCTCAGCCTCAGCCTGCCTCAGCCTCAGCCTGCATCAGCCTCAGCCTCAGCCTCAGCCTGCCTCAGCATCAGCCTGCCTCAGCCTCAGCCTCAGCCTGCCTCAGCCTCAGCCTCAGCCTGCTTCAGCCTCAGCCTCAGTCTGCCTTCAGCCTCGGCCTCAGCCTCAGCCTGCCTCAGCCTCAGCCTGCATCAGCCTCAGCCTCAGCCTCAGCCTGCCTCAGCCTCAGCCTGCCTCAGCCTCAGCCTGCCTCTGCCTCAGCCTCAGCCTGCTTCAGCCTCAGCCTCAGTCTGCCTTCAGCCTCGGCCTCAGCCTCAGCTTGCCTCAGCCTCAGCCTGCCTCAGCCTCAGCCTCAGCCTGCCTCAGCATTCAAAATGTGGCCCGGGAATGGAGTTCTGGGAACTCGAAGAACAATGGCCTGCAATTGGCTCCGGGCATTCAAAATCATCCCCAGGAATGGAGTTCTGGGAACTCGAAGACCACGAAGTGGCTTACAGTTGGTTCCGGGCATTCAAAATCATGCCCAGGAATGGAGTTCTGGGACCTCGAAGACCACGAAGTGGCTTACAGTTGGCTCCAGGCATTCAAAATCATGCCCAGGAATGAAGTTTTGGGAACTCGAAGACCACGAAGTGGCCTACAGTTGGCTCCGGGCATTCAAAATGTGGCCGGGGAATGAATTTTTGGGAACTCGAAGAGCACGAAGTGGCTTACAGTTGGCTCCGGGCATTCAAAATGCGGCCCGGGAATGGAGTTCTGGGAATTCGAAGTCCACGAAGTGGCCTACAGTTGGTCCGGGCATTCAAAAACATGCCCAGGAATGGAGTTCTGGGACCTCGAAGACCACGAAGTGTGTAACTGTTTGCTTAAAACGACTTCCGCGGATTCTTCCCGGCACCCGTCCGGCATTTGCCCAGTCCCCCCTGAGTCTGAGGAGTCAAGATGCTTTCTTTTGAGCTATAGAAACCTATCAGTCTTCGCTGTTAAGTAAAAAGAAATTGCATTCTCTGGGCACCTGGTCTACAGTATTTGCTTCAGCCGGCCGTGTCTGATGCTGGCCCTTTGGGGTTATGTCCGCCGTCTTACTCAGGAGTGGTTCAGCCTTCTTGCAGTGGTCAGCGCACCCCCCACTGGCGCATCCTTGCCGACTTTTCTTGGCACGTACCTAGCCACAGATGTGGCCCTGACCCCTGGCGCCCGGTGGCGACAAGGTCCTGCAGCGTACCTGGTGATTTCCTCCCACGGTGCCCACTTCGGGTCCGAGTGTGCTTGCACCTCTCTGATTCTGTTTTCCTGATTGCGCGCTGCCTACCCGGTTTTGACCGTCTGGTGACACAGCCTCGCTGGGCGGACGTTTGGTCTGTATCTACAGCACAGGTCACAACGTCTCCTGGCGTGCAGGATCCAATTCGCCCGGTTGTTCTTCTGGGTCTCGCGTGTGCAGCAAGCTGCCCTGGCCGTTTGCCGTCAGCTCGGCCAGCTCAGCCTCAGCCAGCTGCCCCCCCCGCGCTAAATTCTGATCCCGCGCTCGGTCGCTGTGTTATTAGGCTCGCGCCTTGCACCTCCCCTCAAGCCGTCTGCGCAGGCAGCTTCGGCAACCCGCCCGCTTAGTCTGCCTCGCCCGCGCGTGTAGTTAGATCGGCCCGCGGCCCGGACCTTTCACCGCGGCGCCTGCGCTTTCGCTTGCTTCCGCGAGGAAGAAATCCTGAAGGGAAGCGCGCCAGCATTGGTGAAGCAAAGATGGGAGAACACCTGTCACCAAAGGAGGGATGATGCCCCCAGCCAACGTGTGGCAACCTGAGAGCCTCACAGAGGTACCTTGGACAGGTCATAGGGCGCTCTCGTGCCTCTTTTCCTGGATAGCTCCTTTGAGGGCTAAGAGGATTTCAGATTCGAAGCTGGCGGCACAGGGTAGGCCAGGTTCCTCTCCACGGCTCCCGGGCAGGCATCCCCGCAGCAACTCCTGTGGGCTTGTAGTGTCTCTTGGAAGCGTCTTCCGACTCGTTCCCAGTGCGCGTGCCGGAAGCCTTTGCGAAGCTCCTTTGCAGCGCTTCGGAGGCTCGTGCGAAACTCCTATTCCGAAGCTTGCAAGCTCTCCAGGCATCCTTTCAAACGTCCTTGCAAGTGTCCCCGACAAGTTTTCCAGGCCCCAAGGCATGCCTTCAAGCTTCCTTGCGAGTTTTTTTGCCAACGTTCTGGCGCTCCGGGGTTTTCCCGGGTAGCTCTCTGAGGGCTAAACGGGTTTCATATTACAACCAGCAGCACAGGGTAGGCCAGCTTTCTCTCCACGGCTCCTGGGCAGGCATCCCCGCAGCAGTTTGATTGAGGTTGCAGCGCGTTCTGGAAGTATTTTCGTACTCGTTCCCGATACGTGTGCCGGAAGCCTTCGCGATATTCTTTCCAAGCGCTCAATCGTGGCGGACCAGCGCTATGGAGTCTTAACTCAGAGTAATTTGGCTTCTGGACTCATTTGTTTGGCGTTTCTTCCCCGACCTTGCGGAGGGGTTCCCGTTGTGTGTTCCCCTGGGGGGTCTGGGGGGGGACCCCCTGGGACATGGCCCCGGCCACGGGCGGAACGCCGGCGGAAGCCGGCGGAAGACGGCCGCAACCCGCCCCATTCCGGCAGACGCCCTTCCGGGCGGCACGGACGGCCCCAAGATGGTCCGCAAGATGGTCCAAGAGGGCCACGGGTCGCCGAAAGATCGGTCCAGACCGTCCAAGATGGTTTCCAGACGGCCCAGGAACCCCCCTAGTCGCCCTGGGAGGCCTCCAAGAGGTCCCCCCCAGAGAACCCCAAGAGTCAACATTCATGCGTTTTCCTTTGGTATTTGAAATCTTTTCGCGTTTTCACCCCGGGTTTTGGACGCCACAAGTTGGGAGCCCTATGGGCCGTCTCGGGGCTCTTTGGCGGCTTCGTGTGACCATTTTAGTCAGCGGCCCACACGTGGAGCCCGAGCAGTTGTCTCTAAGTGTGCCCTTGGGGCAGTCTTGTGGGCCTTTGTTTTTTTTCGGCACCCCGTAGGATGGGGGCCCTCTTTGGTCCCTGTTTGGGCTCTCTTGTGCTGTTGGGACGCGTCGGGAGCCGAAGCGGCGATAAACCAAAGTAATTGAGGGTGCGTGCACCAAAGTAATTTCTGGGGCATGCTTGGGGGCCTTCTCTTGAGGCAGAAATCATTGGTACATATCTCTCGAGGGCATTCTGAGGCGGTTCCAGGGCCACCTCAGAGGCATCCATCTTGGGGCCCTCTGGAGGACTCCTGTAGGCTTGCCGGAGGCCAAATGAACTCCGCTTGACGGCCATATTTGGTCATCTTGCAAGATCCAGCGCGTCGCACCCCCCTTAAGCAGACCCTTGGGTAGGATCTCCACACGAGTTTCAGAATTTCCAGAATGGTGGCTGGGGCGTTGGTGGTTTCGCCAGTGTGCCACAAAGTTTCGAAACATGGAGCCGAAATTCCTAATCATCGTTCTGCATTCCCAAATCGGAGCCAGCGGCGCGGGGGTCCTGCGTATACCGTGTGCCAAGTCGACCAACCACCCTGTAGATTACGAAATGGTGGTTATCCCTGTATGGGTAGCCTGTGACTGCGCAGGTAGACAGTACTAACCATCATCGCGCTGACCATCAAGCCGTTCATTCCAAGCGCTGTTTGGGAAGAGCTGGCACGCTAAACCGCCCACGCCCAGAGGGCCGGCGGGATTTGAGGTGCTGGTTTCCGCAGCCGTTTGGGTCAAGCCGTTTCGGTTGCTCATCTTCTAGTGTGCTGATCTTGTCTGCTGCCCCCTAACCGGGAAGGGGTCGGAGGTCAGCTGTCAGCATGTGCCTCATGTCGGGGGGCCCGCTTGGGCCGGCTGCGGCAAGTGCAGTCCAGCAGCCACTGCTGCTGGAGATCGGGCTGTTCCTGGCCGAGGAGCCCACCGAGATCCTAGGCCTCTGCAGTGTGTCCACACAGTTCCATGAGCTGAAGATGGGCCCAACAGCAGACTATCTCTGGCGCGAGCTTTATCGCACCAGGTGGCCGAAATTCTTCGATTGCATGACTTATCAAGAGGTCCGGGACTGGCGCCTCTTGTACATAGACACGCTTTCTGGGCGCAGGGGCTGCACTCTGGAAGTGTTCCACCGCCACAAGAAAGTCGGCTTCGCCATGTCGGCTATGCCCGCGAGCGTGACCTACGACGCTTGCCAGGACTGCTACGTGGCCCGGTACTTCAGCGCCAGCGAGGTACCCCCTGAGACAATTCCCGCCAGGGAGGACCACCGCCTGAGGTTCTGCCCAGAGGCTGTTAGACCCAGTCTGCTGGAGCCCAGAAGTTTGCCGAGCGCTTGGAGTAAGGCAGCAGTGCTTTGCGACACCTATCCGGACAAGGTTCTGGCGGGCATCGACGGCCTTCGCGCGGGGAGCAGCATAGAACTGCAGTGGAAGATGCAGCATGACAGTCCATTCGGGTGGTGGTACGGCCATCTCGAACAGCTCGAGCCTATCGACGGGGGGCTGGCAAAGGCGGTCATTACCTTTCGGCATTTCTCGCCGTTCTCCCAGTGGTACAGACTGGCGGTTGTCTTTGGGGACGACCAGAAGCGTGAATGCGAATTCGGGGGCTACACAGGTGGCATACGTGCCTTGAGCGTGGCAGAGAGCTTGCATTTCCTCAGGTTTTTTCCAAAGGAGCAGCTGCTCCTCTGAGTCCAGCCGTCTCTCGACCTCGCAAGCCCCCTCAGCTCGGAACCTCCTGCACCGCCGGGCTGCGCTGCCGCGCACCTCCACGAGCGCGTACTCACACGCACTGGCTGCGGCACAGCGCGATGGCTGGTAATTAGCTGCTTCGCCTGACTGCCTGTTGACCCTCCGTCCTCGAGTTGCACGCCCTCTGAGTTTGCCTCCTCTCTGTGCGGGGGCCTGCAGCGCAGGCTGCCAGGCACGCTGGCGCCTCCCACTCTGATCTCCAGTGCACGTGCTCGCAGGGTCATCGTTTCTCGCGTCTGGGGCGCTTCTTGTGCGGGAGGGTCTGGGCTGTTTTTGTCTCTATGTTGCGGTGCGGGGCAGAACAAAGGCTGCCACATCGACCGCATCATGCGGCGGCTTAGCATTTACCCGCCGCGTGCAGGGCATCTGGGGAGTGTCCTGTTTTCCTCGCGGGCGCCTTGCTCATAAGCGCAGGCTATCTTGCTGATGCGGGGCGAGTCCGTGCACAACGTCGAACGTTGAATCTCTTGATCGCGCGCGTGCGCGCGACAAATCAAGGCGTTGGCTCGATCCGCACTCTACCATTCAAGAGCACCTCCGAACTGTTGACGACGACAAGTGAGGCTCCGTGTTGGAGATCGTATGAGGGTCCTCGTGAGCAGCAGAAGTGGGACTGGAACGTGCTGATCGTGTGCAGGTGTACGGTCGATTTGGGGACTTGCGCTGAGCTTGCGTCCCACTTGTGGCCCGCGGGCGACCTTCCCCTGCTCGGCTCGCGGTGTGGAGGGGCGCAGAGGAGCCCCCCCAGCCCGGTCCCGAGCAGCCTGGGCCATTCGCTGGTGTCAGCGGCAACGATAGGGGGGGATAGGCATAGGGGGGCTGCATCGACCCCCAAGGGGTCCGATAGCCCCACCCCGCCCAGGAAGGTGCAGATTCTTCATCCGGGCCTTATCGCCGATCTATCAGCGATGTATCTCCGATTGCAGGTCGATGTTTCCCCCCCTATGCCAGTCTCCCCCCATCGTTGCCCTTCATGGTGGGCGCGCGAAGAGAGACTGCGCCTCGTCGTCTATGCGCAAGAGTGGCTTTTCGCCAGAGTGACATTTAGTGCGGGCCCACCTGGGTCCTACCAGCAAGGGCTGGTACGCTTGGATTGCTTGGGTTTGGCCTCCCCCGCGGCCCCCTCAAGCCGCGCATCAAAGGTCACCCTTGCCCACTGGAATCGGCGCGGGGGTTGCTAAGGGGCTATGGGGGTTAGCAGTGAGTGCCAAGGGTGGGTTATGTCTGGCCTAATCTAGCTTACAAGTGGCATGCAGTTGGCCCGCGTGGCTAAGCCACTTGGGGCATTTGCATCCCACTTCTAGGCTAGCTTGGGCCACCTGCGCAGTGCCTGGCGGCGGCGGTGGCGCCGTCGTCGTCGTCGTCGTCGTCGTCGTTGTCGTCGTCGTCGTCGGCGTCGGCGTCCTCGTCATCTTCCTTCCTCCTCCGCAGTGTGAGGCCATGTTTGCTTCTCCTGTTTCTGAGTGCTTAGAGTTGTCGTGAATTAGGTGAGTAGTGTGCTGCGGTAATGGGGATTGCGTGTCCAAATTCAGTGCTCCTGTTTTCAGCTTGAGTATCACAGGGCGAATGCGTCACAAGCTATGTGCTCAAAAGTACCGCCTGGTGACCTCTCAGCAAGCCGTGTTGCTGCATTTGTGCAGTCTGAATGCCACAGTGCGTTTAATGTTTGCTTAGCAGAGGCGCTCGCACACCGTCGCCGTTACATCTGTAACCGAGTGCCCCCGATCATAAATCACCCCCCCTTAACCCCCTGAATAGTTATTCTCCCGTGTCAATCGGATTTAAGTGTGGAGAAGGGCGGCGAGGCCGAAATTGATAATCCCCGGGGGAAGTTGCGAATCGAAGTTGCTATCATCTTATGTTGGCTAGCAACAGTATCAAAAACTCTGAGCATGGCACTGGTGGCCTTACCATTTCAGGTTTCGCAATCACGAACGTGGGGCAGGTCTATAGGATTCTCACCATGTCAGTTTTCCCAGGTCACGAACGTGCGGCAGGGCCATGGGATTCTCACTTTCTCAGCTTCCCGTGCAAGGACGGCTCCAAAGGGTGCCGAGCCTGCATGGGCGATTGCTTCGAGGTCGTGCGCAAGAGAGGTTTCTTGGCCAGGAGCGCCGAGGACCTCTCTTGCGCAGGCAAGTTGTGGCCACGAGAGCCGAGATCTCTCGAGTCAGTCTTTCGCCATGATCTACCAGGTCAGTCTACACGATTGACCAGGTTCATCATCATCATCATCATCATCATCATCATCATCATCATCATCATCATCATCATCATCATCACCATCGTCATCATCATCAGCATCGTCATCATCATCACCATCATCATTATCATCATCATCATCATCGTCATCATCATCATCCTTTGCTGGGGAAATCATTGATTATCCCCGCCAGACCCCCGAACTTTCTTTTCCCCCGGTAATTATTATCGGGGGCACAGGGTTATTGGGCTCAGTGGGAAGGGGGTCTCTTGAGTTCAGCCGTGCCTTGCTTGTCCCCGTCTAGTATGTGTATTCTCCCATGCTGCGTTGTCGTGTTGTTTGCCCCGCTCCAGCCACAACTCCTGGAACGGCGCACGATCAGGGGAAGCTCAGTTGTTTGCCGTCGAGGGGGCCACACCGAGCCTCGCGCGCCCAGCGGTCTATGAGAGCAGCAGCTTGCCAGCCTGGGCGAGGAGCTGATGGCCCGCCTGCTCACCACCCACCAAACCACCCCAACCCAACCCGAAGGCTCAGATTTACCCTCGATTTCCAGTGGGGGGGGTGTCGGGAAACATCGAAAAAACACGTGTGGAACCCTTACCCCCCCCAACCCGAAATTCGGGTCTTCGGGTTGGGTTGGGGTGGTCTGGTAGGTAGTCATCTCCTCCCTGCTCACGTAGTTTGCAAACCTTAAGTTCCAGAGTTGGACAGCGTGAGCTCTGGATTCCAGGGTGGGTGCTGCGGCCCCTCCTCCTCTCCGACCTTCCAGCGTTTCTTTGGCTCCCCTCTGTTCCTTTTGGCCCCTGTCTTCCCCCTCCTCCTTCCCCCTCCTCCACGTCCTCCTTTTCCGTTTCTTCTCCTCCTAGATTTTTTTCCTTGTCGCACCCCGAGGCGTGTCGGTAAGGCGGGCCGAGCGTCTCGCTGGATATTTCCGCACCACTTGTGACCCTGAAGCTTTACAGTTGCAGAAGTTTCACGGGCAGAGGGCGGGCCGTCTTCAAACTGTGGCTCTCGCTCTAATGCTGCTCACGTTCGTTTTCAAGCTTGTGAGATCTTCACGGATGGCGGGTGGGCGGTTTTCTAAACGTGGTTTTCGCCTAGCGCCGCGCGTATTGGGTTTTGAAAAGTATGTAAGAGCTTCGCGGATGGAGGGCGGTTCCTTTTCATAATGTGGCTCCCGCCTGGGCGTCGCGTACAGTCGCCTTGAAGAACTGAGAAATTACGATCGTTCCGAGGATTCCCATGGCTGGCGTCCCAGATCTGATGTTTAGGCACGGTGTACGTCTTTCATGGCGCAACAGTCCCAAGAATGGCGTTCTTGTGCGATTTTGGATCGTCAGGACGCAGCAATAACGTTGGGTCGCGGCGTTGAAGACCCGGGAATGTTGTGATGGTACGGTTCAGGAATTTCAAACGGTTGTCTTCCCAAAGGGACACACTTCCTTCAGTCAACGTACATCTTTGTAGGGAGCTATGAAGAGGGAACTCGGAAGAAGGGTTTATT